AAACTCATTATCATTTTACCCTTTGTACTTTCCTTTTGATAACTCTTAAAGTTTTTTTGCTTGTTCTTCCCCAAGTGATTACATTTTTATGCCTTCTTTTGATCACTGTTTCATTTCATTCTTCATTTCCATGTTTCGAGAACTTAGGAGTTTTGAAACGACCTGGACAGTTTCGACTTTCAAATATTTTGTTGTTGTTATTCAACTTTGGGAATCGAAAAAACACACAAAAAATTATGAGAAGCACACAATCTTACATTATAGACGAAGAAAAAGGAAACAAATCACAGGTCGAGTCAACCTCCAAAGCACTTAAAACCAGAGACAGCATGTGTGGTTGTAGGCCCGAGACGGCGACACATAAACCACTTGCTTCCCGGGAAAATAATAACTACTTGGCTACTTTACCGACAACTTTGACACTCATGCAGCGGAGGGTGCGGTCACGTACTTGACCTGCCCAGCTTCAGTAAGAGCGGTGATAAACGGTTTCAGATTCACCAGATCGGTCTCTGTGTCGACAACATCTACAGATTTCTTATAATCCAAGGAATCATCGTTGTATATGTCCCACCATTTCTTCACTAACATCTTAATGTCTTCTCTCTCCATGTTCGCTTCTTTCCCTGTGTATCTCCACGGCTTCGAACCCTGTAATGAAACAAAACTATGTGTCAGAAACTCAGAACGAAATTTTCATTGTTCAAAGTAAACAGAACTATGAAATACTAATAAAAAACACTCACCGCTGCACAGTAATGAACCACTTTGACTTTATCAAGCTCTACGTTTTCTGGGTGTCGCCATAACATAGCGAGGACGAGATTGTACACTAGAGGAATCGGCTTGTAGATTTTTTTGAAGTACATGTTTAGAAAATCCTGCACAGTCAAATCCACAAGTTTCAAACACATGAAAACAGACAAAAACCAGTCAAACTTTTTAAAATTTGTTTATTACCTGTTCAGCGAAAGGAGTTGGAGGAGTGACTTTGAGGGTTTTTAGAAGATCCTCATAAGTCTCAAGGTTAGGTTCGAACAAGAACATTCCGGCGTTGAAATAAAGAGCCGGTGGTTCTCCAAGCTCCGACTTTGGCCACTGGACTTTCTCCGGGCACTGTTGACAATATCCGATCTTGTATTGAGGCGTATGGCTCCATGTTTTCTCGCAGAAACAATCCATCACCGCGTAGAAATATCCATCAGGAAGATCAAACAAATGATCAATGTTTTCATAAACTTGAATGTCTCCATCTAAATATATCATCTTACTATACTCCACAAACTGCACATTAACCACACCCAAAAAAAAAAAAAAAACAGAGCATTAAAACGACGACGTATCGTTGAAACACCAAAAAGGTAGCCTAAAACGGCGTCGTATTCGTAAGTACCTCCCAGATACGTAGTTTGGAGTAATTGATGACGTAATAAGCCATAGCGAACTGTGTTTGGTTCTCGGGTGGGTAAACGGGTTCGATTTCACGTACAATGCAACCTTGTTCCACAAGTATACGACGGTGCTCCTCCGGAACGTCTGGTAATATCGCAACGACAAGTGGATACGCCGATTTGACTTTTCTTAGTCCTTTGGCTAAACCAACGACTCCTTTCACGTAATCACCGTTTCCGGCTAGAAACGTCACGTAAGCTCGATCGCCGTGGATTTGCCGCAACGGTTTAGCTACCGTCACGGCGGATTTAGAGGCGGAGGTGGTGGTGTGAGTAAGCTCCGGAGCCATGTGAGAGGCACGTGATCTAGAGGATTTAGAGGGATGTTGTTTTGTTGTTCGTGTTTAGTAATGAGGACTTAAGGTGATGGCTAAACAGGGGTTAATATAGGGGCTTGTATCAGGTGTGATTGTGAAATCTGGAACGTACACGTGTAAGTTTGAGATCAGACGGTGGTGATTGGCATTTGGTGAAAGTTCTGGAAGTGGGACCGTAACGGGGATTATAACTATTAACGGGTTAGTACGGAAAACGCTAGAAGCAGCTACGGAATTGTGGTTAGGAATAGAAGATTGTTTATCCTCTGTGTCTATGTGCATTGTACATTTCCGTAGTCCACTATTTGTTTTTTTTTTAAAAATTCTCTTTTATATCGGTAAATAATTAATTAAAACCTAGTCATACATTGGCAATTGTATTTGTTTGGTAACATGCAAAATATATAAATATTTCAGGCTCGAAATATAATTAATGTTTTTTTTAATGTCTTTCTAATTAATTAAGTGTTACTCCAAGGTATCGTTTGAAGCCATTAATTTAAATACACTAATATATTATATGATTTTATAGCTAAATGGAGTAAACTCTATCCCCAAAGTTAATCCTAATTTCCACAACAACTAAAGAGAATGAATCACTATAAAATCATAAAGTCACAAACTTTGATTTTGCTTGTTAATTACGTCTTTCTTTCTAATTATTTTTGTATATATATTCATAAATATAGAAAGAATGGACGACATAACGAATTTACCGAAACTTTGTCATGTCTCTAATCTTCAAAACTTTCACTAGAGATTAAAGTATGCAAGACACAACAAGATTAACGAGTTTCGGCAAATATGCATATATATGATCTTCAAAAATTCCACTTGTAATAATTTAAGCAATTCCATGGCAAGACCTTGTCTACTAAGATTAACACTACACTATACACATTTTAGCTCATCATCCACCAAAGACCTTTTCAACACACTGATTGCAAGAATAAAAATATTAGTCTTTCTCAATCGCCATATTTAGTTAACTCTCTAAAACTTTTTCTTCTCCATAAAATGGCAAACAAAACCCTAAGGAACGTGACCTCTTTTTACACGACTTGAATGATCACATTATAACCATACGTGATTTACGTCATTTCTTTTCTAACATTATCATATATTAACACCATATCATATTCGAGTGTTCCAAATCATGTTCCATTTTTTTCCGAATTAGTCTTGATAAACATTATCTTATAACTAGCATCTTCTTGCACTAACAATATCATCTCATGGCCTACTATTTTTGTATGGTACTTGCTACTTAATCTCTCCATTTTTTGTTTTTAAATTATTGAGTTGGTACGTATTAACTTTCATGTGCTTAATTTTCCCATTATTTATTGTAATACTTTCAAGAAATATTTAATAACAAAGTTACAAAACAAGCAAATAAATCACGTGTAATTTAAAAAAATAAATAAAATCACATGAAAAATGGTGACTTCTTGTGAAAACGACAACTTTGACTAGATCACACCACATCAATAGATTATCTGGGTGAAGAGTAACCGTGAGATACACGCGCCATTTGCTTTGGGCCCAATTGTCCCTTAATGAGCCATATGAACCAATTTCATGGTGCTTAGTGAATTATACTGGGCTCCACCCGAATACCCAAATATATTTCTCTTTCAGCACATCCTCG